ACATATATTCAGAGGACATTTTCATAAATGCAATTGCTGATATGAAGATCTTTACAAAATGGACTGTACAAATTGGTCTGACTACAAAAAGGTCGGACTAGTACCTAAGGAAACTAGGTGCTGTTGAACACACAAAGTTTGTAAATTACATATTAACAAAGAAAAATAGTGATCTAAAATTTAAAAAAAAAAGAAGTTTCTGTGCTTTCAGGAGTTTTTCAGTGCAGAGACATCGTTGTTCCATAAAAGATGAAAATGTATGAATTTAGTAAAAAATAAAGATGATGATTTTCACAATGTTCCACGGGCATTGTGAACGATCAGTGTAAGAATTTCAAACTGGCAGAATTAAACCCTGAGAATTTTAAATGCCTGATATTTGTTCAAGGTTTGGTATCGACAAAAGACATTGAAATCAGGAAAAGGGTTTTAAATAAACTGGAAAATGAACCCAATCCAACTTCACAAAAAAACCTAGCAGAAGATTGTCAGAGGTTTATAAATATTTAACGAGATATCAAAGATATTGAAATAAGTGATATGTTGCACATAAGAAAAGTGTATCAAAAAAATAAGGTGAAGAAGAAGAAAAAAAACATTACTCCTAATACCCTGTTACATATTTGGAGAATTACGTTGGTATAAAAACTGTCCATACAAAAATAACGAATGTTTTCGGTGTGGAAAAAAAGGATTTAAGAAAACCCACTGTATGACAAAAGTAAAAAGACTCGTGAGGAATTAAGTTAAAGTTACTTATATGGATGAATCTGCCAGTCAAAATAGAAAGAAATTTGTACAGGTAAAAATCCTTCAAAAATATCAAATTACAACTGGATAGCGGATCTGATTTAAGCATAATAAATGTGTATACATGGAGAAAAATATGTAAACCAACATTAATGGTTACCAAGAAAATCACTTGTAGTGTTACAGGACAGAAAATAAAATTTGAAGGGGAATTTATAACAAATGTAATGTTAAACAATAAAACCTTGTAATTAAGACTGTAATGAAAAATACAAATAACCTTTTTCAGAACTGACTGGATGGAGCAGTTTAATTTATGGAACAGTCCGATCAGTTTGTTTTGCCAATAAGTTAAAGGTTTGTCTATATTTCTGAGATGAGGTATTATGTACACTATTTACATTATTCGGACTATGGTCTTCATCTTTGTCGCCATATTTATCACAACATTTCAGCTGTTGTATGCTCCAGCCTTCTTCAGGTGGCTGGAATGTCGAACTGACATCCATTAGACATGGCACGTGGAACTAGGACAGTCTACCCCAGTGAGTGAAATAAAGGGTTCAGTTCGACATTCCAACCACCTGAAGAAGGCCAGAGCGTACAATGGCCGAAACGTTGTGATAAATATGGCGACAAAGATGAGGACAACGGTCCGAATAATGTAAATAAAGTTAAAGGTTTTACCAATGAAGCAGAAAGTTTGAAGAAAGTCTTAAAAATTAAATTCCCAGGGGTATTTTTCTGGTGGGCTAAATTCAAGCTAAAAGAAAATGTACAACCAGTTTTCAAAAAGAAAAGGAATATACCGTTTGCGTCGTTAAAACAGATTGATGACGAGCTTGACAGATTTGAAAAAAATGGGTGTTTTATCTAAGGTGGAATATAGCTATCGGGCTTCACCAGTGGTATATATAAAGAAAAAGTTTGAAGAGATACGTGTCTGCACAGATTTATCCATGGGCTTAAACGATGCCCTAAAAAGTTATTATTACCCACTTCTGGGGCCACAAGAGGTATTTGCACAACTAAGCAGGGGGTTGGATATTTTCGAAAATCAACCTAAGTGATCCATATCTGCAGATTGAAGTGGGTGACAAATGTTCAAAATGACTTAAGATAAACACATATTGAAGAATGTATAAATTCAATCGGTTGGCTTTCGGAGTAAAGGTCGCTCCAGCTATTTTTCAGCAAGTCATGAATATGATTCTTAGTGGACTTTGCAGTTGCTTATCTAGACAATATTTTGCTGAAAAGTGAAAATTCAGAAGAACACAAGAAAAATGTTTTTGAAGTTTTCAGAAAGATTCAGGACTATTCATTCAAGCTGAAAGACGAAAAATGTAATTTTTTTTTATGGATAAAATCTAATATAATAATTAATGAAAATGGCAGGAGACCAGATCCAGCATGAGTCAGTGCTATAAAAGACACGCCTGCTCCTGAAAATGTTAGTTCCGTAAAAAGTTTCCTGGATTTTGATATGTCCCGGAAAGGGATATATTTGTTCGAAGTAGCAAAGTGGTTTTGGACTATTGTAACAGAGTAGGACAATCTAGCAGGTAACCGTAATGGACTGGTCCTAATCGTAGTGGTAGACAATAGGTATAGTCTTGAGCCTCCACATCAGTCTGTATTTATGGCTGACACCAGCCAATCATATTACTGTGAGGAGGAACCTAGATGTATGTATATTCATTACATCAGATTTGACAAGTTATTACATTGTATTTGTGACAAACATGCGTTGTTTGAGAGCAGTTCATTTAATGGAGCTCTCAAACAATGCATGTTTGAGAGCTCTATTAAATGAACTATTAAAGAAAGATTCTAAATGGGTTTGGACAACATAGTGCCAGGAGGCGTTTGAAAAAATTAAAGAAATATTAATGTTAGACTTGTTTTTGACACATTACAATCCAAAAGAAGAAAGCAACACTAGTACATAGAGAATACAAGCCTGCATTATGCATAAATTCAAAGACGGTTCAATTAAGCCTATTGCACATGCATCCAGGACATTTCTTCCAGCCGAAAAGAATTATTCCATGATAGAAAAGGAGAGTTTAGGGATTGTGTTTGCCCTTAAGAAATGTCATAGATTCATTCACAGGAGAAGATTTACCTTACAAAAGGATCACAGACCATTGTTAGCTATTTATGGGTCCAAAAAAGGACTACCAACCCATACAGCTAATAGGTTACTATGATGGGGAATCATTCTATTACATTATGATTTCAAAATGAAATTCTTGCAGGTGAGTAAATTGAGTCATGTGGATGGATTATCCAGACTTATTCCAAGAAATAGTGAATCTTTAGAAGATATGGTCATTGCTTTTCTACAAGTGGAATTTGAAATAAAAAATGTACTATACAATACTGTGTGGGAACTACCTGTGACTTTGAAAGAAATAAAAAGTAAAGCATTGTATGATAGTTTTATCGTGGAAATGAAGAAAAAAGTTAAAGATAGGAGTAAAACAAAATCTGAGGTATCTTCAATTTGCAATGATGTTCTCATGTATAGTGAAAGAGTGGTGGTGCCTTTATCACTACAGAAATGAATCCTGGAAGAATTCCACACAGGACACCCTGGTATATCCAGAATGACAAGCTTAATGAGAAGTTATGTATACTGACATAGCATGGATAGAGATATTGAATGTTTGGTAGTCATGCAAAGGCTGTGCTTTGACAGCTAAAGCACCACCGATAAAGTTCAATCCATGGCCAGATGCTGACCGCCCATGGTCATGTCTGCATATTGACTTTGCTGGTCCATTTAATGGGTCATACTATTTGATCATTGTAGACAGTTTTTCCAAGTGGCCAGAGATATTGAGATCTAAGAAACCAACCATGGAAGTAGTAATTGGTTTTCTACACAAACTGTTCATGAAGTTCGGGATACCAGATTTATTGTTTCAGATAATGGCACCGAAAAGGTTTTTTTTTTACTGGATGTATCAGGCAGGTAAAAGACATTGGGAAGTTGGAACTATCATTCAAAGAATTGGTAGGATGGTATATTTAATCAAAGTACCGGAAATGGTGTACAAAAGGCACTGTAATCAAATAAAAAGTAGGCATATAAATGAAGAGAACAATACTCCAGTGGAGGTTGAAACTATGGAAATTCTTTTCAACACATTTGATGTGGCCATTCCTCAGAAAGTTCCTGTGATAGAAGTCCGAAAAATACAAAGTGGAAAAGAAGCAATACAATGAGAATCAAAATCAACCTAAAACGGAAAAGATAATTATTCTGTGCAGAGTAAATTTAAAAAGGTAGGTGTTATACCATACCTATGTACTATAATGGGTATGTCCCCTTCTTCATAAATACAGTGGAATATACTGTCTGTGGGGATTCACCACTAGCAGTGAATTACTTACTTAATGCTGCTGGCAAATCTTGTATGTTGTTAATATTATAAAGATTACCATTCCATTTCCAATCTTCATTTTGGTTATTCTTATTCAGTAACCTTTTCTAGGTTACAACAGCATTTTTTTGTAATTTTGGTAAATATATCTGTTAAAATGAGATTTTAATTTTATTTTTGCATAATTTCAACCACAATTTATCTATATATATGTATAATATATAATATTTATCTATCTATCTATCTATATATATATATATATATACACACACACACACATCTATATATATATATATATATATATAGTGTTTGCACATACATAACTTGATATTGAGTTAAATATATATAGATTCAAGTAGTTTCAATTTTTTCTGTATATATTTATGTATATCTACTGTTCAGATATTTGTATCTCCTTCTCTATTTTATGTGTGTGTCTGTGTAATATAAGGTAGTGCAGACAAATATGCACAATGATTCAATTACTCTATATACATTTGTGCATATCTCCTGTACAGAGATATCTGCATCTATCTATATATATATACACACACACACACACACACACACACACACACACACACATGTTGTGTATGCATACACCTGTACTTGAATAAATGGTAAAATAAGGCTTGGAACTAATTTTGCCATGTTTTGCCAGAGGCAAGAATTCTTAGCAATCAATAGAATGGCAGTGGTTGTTGTGGGAAGAAAGAATAAAACCAAATGAATCTAGCGGAAGAATTTTGTTTAGAGACGGGAATTTCAAGCAAGAAGAATGGCTGGGAAATAAACGAAAAATGCTTTGTAAGATTTTTAACTGAAGCACACAATTTAATTTTACAGATTCAAATTCTAATGATTTCACTTGACTTTTCTCTACATTTTTCTCTCTCTTTTCTTTGTATTTTTCTACCATGTTCAACTTACTCTCTCTCTCTCTCTCTCCTCCCACATATATTCTTACTCTTTTTCTATCTTGTTCTTTCTGTGAGTTTCTCTTGCACTCTCTCTCAAACTTTTTACTTTCTTCTTCTTTAACCTTTTTTTCTGCTCTCCACTTGCTGTCTTTTGTTTCCTTACTCTTTTTCATCTTTTTCATTCTCTCTTAACCCATCTGTTTTCTCATGTCCTTCTTACCCGTCTTTCTGCCTTTTCCTTTTTTCTCTCCTTCTATTTACTGCCTTTCTTTCTCTTTGTTATACCGGATTTATCTCTCTCTTTTCTTTCTAATTTTCTCTCTCATCCTTTCTCATATTCTCTCTTCAATGCTTTCCTCTTTTCTGCTGCTCATTTTTCCCTTTTAAAGTTTGTGTTGGTTGTTTTGACTTTTCTCTCTCTTGCCATTTTCTTTCTCTTTTTAATTAATTTCTCTTCTTTTCATTCTCCTTTTCATTTACTCATTTCTCTTATTCTTTCTTTTTTTTTTCTTTCTAATTTTCTTTCTATCCTCTTTCTTTTTTCTTTCTGCCCTCTTTCTCTTCTCTTTATTTTCTCTTATTCTTTCTTTCTTTTCTTACTTTCTCTCTTTTCTTTCTTTCTGCCCTCTTTCTCTTCTCTTTATTTTCTCTTCTTTCTTTTCTTACTTTCTCTCTTTTCTTTCTTTCTGCCCTCTTTCTCTTCTCTTTATTTTCTCTTATTCTTTCTTTTCTTACTTTCTCTCTTTTCTTTCTTTCTGCCCTCTTTCTCTTCTCTTTTTTTTTCTTCTTTCTTTTCTTTTTTCTCTCTTTCTTTTCTTTCTGCCCTCTTTTCTCTTCTCTTTATTTTCTCTTCTTTCTTTTCTTACTTTCTCTCTTTTCTTTCTTTCTGCCCTCTTTCTCTTCTCTTTATTTTCTCTTATTCTTTCTTTTCTTACTTTCTCTCTTTTCTTTCTTTCTGCCCTCTTTCTCTTTTCTTACTTCTTTCTTTCTCTTTCTTCTCATTTGTTCTATTTTCTTTTTCTCTTTCTCTGTTTATTTTCTCTTTCTCTTCTCTTATTCTCTTTTGTTCTTTATTTTCTCTTGTTCTTTTTTTCTCATTTGTCCATTTTCTCTTTCTTTTCACTCTCTCCTTTTCTTTATTTTCTCTTTTTCTTTCCTTTATTTTCTCTTCTTCTCTTCCCTTTATTTTCTCCTTTTCTTCTTTCTTTCTCCTTCTCTTTTATTTTCTTTCATTTTCTCTTTTTCATTTTCTATTTTCTTTCATTTTCTCTTACTCTTTTCCTTTCTGTTCCTCTTATTCTCTCTTTCTCTTTCCTTTATTTTCTCTTTCCTTTATTTTCTCTTTCCTTTATTTTCTCTTTCTCCCATTCTGTCTAGTTTTTTCTTTTCTCTTTCTCTTTATTTCTTTCTCTTTGTTTTGCTTTCCTCTTTCTCTTTCTTTCATTTTCTGCAGCCAAATTTACTTATCAGCTCTGACAGATTTACTATTGAGAAAGAAGTAAACAGTAGTGTAATTTGCATAAATATCTACTTGTGAGCTGATGACATCCCAAAATAATGTACCTATCCACCACCAACTGTTAGGATAATATAGTAAACCTTGCTACACATAACGCACCATTGATCAGCATATATAAATAGACAAAACATGGCCTGATGATTGCATTCAAGTTACTGCTTCGTGTTGACCTCAGCATCAACTTTTATATTTACATACAGTCTATCCCTGATATTGAGCACTTTACCCATAAATATAGCATACATTAAAACTGTTATTTATCATATATGTAGTTCATTGCCAACAAATTAGGGAACTCCACGCCAGAAAAATACACTTTAGCCAAAATATAGAGAAATGCAGAGGACAAAATCTGCCAAATTTTAGTGTCCTCCCATTCTACCAATGCAACTACAGAACCACTGAACAAAGGCAAATTAATAAGGAAACATTTTTTATCAACAAGTTCAAACCCATACTTAATTCATTGCATATTCTATAAACAGATTCTACAAAATTTCCCTTACCATAAACGACATATATAGCCTGTTACACACCTTGATTTTCATTTTTTTTCATTGGTACAAAACATAAGCATCAACACGTGGAGAGAGAGAAACAGTCAAAACTGTTTGAAAAGCTAAGCAAAACCAGTTAAAGTAAAATAGTTAAAAAAAGAAAAGGAAAACAACAAATTACTTTTCTAAGACAAAAACACTGAAAATCCAATTGTAAGTGAGAAAGTTTTAATTCTTCTCTGTAGAAATTCATATATTTGAAATAAATAACACTATATTAAATATCAGGTACATTTTTTTCCAATCCTCATTTCAGTCTATACAATAAGTTTTTGTACAGAATTTTTCTAACAAAAAAAATATTTTTACCTATATATATATATATATATATATATATATATATATATATATAAAATAAAAAAGTCTATGTAAAAAAAAAAATAATCTGTATGGATAATACCAAGGAGGATGAAATCCTGAGAGCTCAATGTTAAGTCAGAGTGAATAATTTAATTGAAAGAAAAACAGATCACTTTAAGGCTCCATTTGTTATAATTTATTTCACCAGAGAATTTTATTTTTCTCTTGATCTTCAGACTTCACTTTCAAAAGTGAAACGAAAAATGAATTTAAAATTTACACTTTTGACGGGCAGTATTATGCTTATATAAGTTGACATAGAAGGTGGTGAGCAATAGTGTGAGAGACATGGTTGAGTTTAGAGAGGGAAGGGAGAGTTTTAAAATTTATTTTTATTACAATACTTGAGGAATGAGGAGTAAGGACCAGATAGAATATATATTTTATATATATATATATATATATATATATATATATATATATATATATTTATATATATATATATATATATATTATTTATTTATATATATATATATTATTTATTTATATATATATATATATTTATATATATATATATATTTATATATATATATATATATATATTATTTATATATATATATATATATTATTTATTTATTTATATATATATATTATATTATTATTTATTATATATATATATATTTATTTATATATATATATATATATTTATTTATATATATATATATATATATTATTTATATATATATATATATATTTATTTATTTATATATATATATATATATTTATTTATATATATATATATATATTATTTATATATATATATATATATTATTTATTTATTTATATTTATATATATATTATTTTATTTTATATATATATATTATTTATTTGTTATATATATATATATATATATATATATATATTTATATATATATATATATATTATTTATATATATATTTATTTATTTATATATATATATATATATTATTTATTTATATATATATATATATTATTTATTTTATATATATATATATTATTTATTTATATTTATATATATATATTTATTTATTTATATATATATATATATATTATTTATTTATATATATATATATATTATTTATTTCATATATATATATATTATTTATTTATATATATATATATATTATTTATTTATATATATATATATATATTATTTATTTGATTATATATATATATATATATATATATATATATGACAGAATGGGTAAATATAGGTAGGTATACAAGTGAGCAGTCATATACAAATACATATACTCTATAGTGGAAGAAAAAGACAGTGCTCAGTGTTAAATAACAAAAAAAAAAAAATTCCAGTACTTGACAATTGCTTTGGCATGAAACAGACATTAATGTATAGTATTATTTATATTTCTTACATTTTGTTAAATTTACAGAAATGTTCTGGAGGATAATTAGTGGAGAAAATCGAACATTATTTGTTCATTGGAAATTTCATTCTTTAAGACACATTATTATTATTATTATATGTTCCATGTCCCTTTAGACCATTATCTTTCCACAATTTCCTGTCCTTTATAGCTCTTTATAACTTTTATCTTTTTGCCTTCTCTTCCAAACCCTGCTTTGCCAACCATTTGCTCAAGCTTGCCAGCTAGGTTGCGCATTGCTTTCCTTTGGCCCTTTTACCTTCAATCTGTCCTGTGAATATTAGATTTTCCAAGCCCTCTCTCCTCAATATATGTCCTAGAAATTTCAAATGTCTATTCTTGATGCTAATCATGCGTCCTTTCTGTTAACATTTTCTCTAGAGCTTCATTGTTTCTCACATGTTCTCAGTATTCTCAGCATCCTTCTGTAGACCCACATTTCTGTTGCTTTAAGTCTCTTCTTTATTTGTGCAAATATTGTCCAGCATTCACTGCCATACAGGAGGATTGCTATTGCATAACAGTACAGTGCTCTTTTCTTTGTTTCTAATGAAATTTTCCTTTTCTCAATACTTTGCTTAGGTTTTGGATGGCATCTTTTACTATCTTAATGATTTCAGTGTCACACTTTCCAGCTATATAAATTGTCATACTTGTTTGATGTAGAATTAAAATTCTGTTGCTTTAAACCTCTTCTTCATCTCTGAGGAGATTGTTCATTTTGTGATATTCTCAATATCCTTCTGTGGAACTACATTTTTATTGCTTTATGTCTCTTCTTCATCAGTGAGGAGATTGTTCTGGATTAAGAGTAATGAAAAGAATGAATGACTTCAACATTGGATGACCTTGCAAGGATAAAAATATCATTAAATCCACTAATCTGACCTAAATAAATGTAAAATCTTCTATATGGATTTGAAAAAAACCAATTTTCTATATTGGTAGGAATATAGACCACTTTCTCAGTCATTAAGTAGACTTAGTGATCATTCATTTTCATTCAGTTACTTTAGACCATGATTGTCCCAGTCAGTTGCCTGTCTTTATAAACTGGATTTAAAAGCAAAATTGCCTTATTATTCTTACGGCATAGTGTTAGTCATTCAGCATTACTTGACCTTTAGTATTCCACATTATTAATATTACTTTCCTTCCCACTGCATTCTTTTTCAAGGCTTCTCAATTGCAGAAACCTTATTGTTAATTTCACTTACTCATCCCATCACTGTCAAAACTCCTAAATGTAGCCGTCTCTTCTACTCCAATAGCTTCATGTCTCGCACCTCTCGCCTGTGGAACTCCCTTCCCTATTCAGTTTCCCTGAGGGCTATAATCTCCTTCTACAAATGTAATGTCAGTCGACATCTCCAGTTGCCTTGATCTATCGACTACCCTTCTCCTCATCCTTTCTTCTATCACTCCTATCTGATCTTGCTCCAAATTTTCTGTAACCCCTTGCATCCTAGTGGTTTCCCGCCTTGCTTGGGGTGAAACACTTAAAAAAAAAAAAAAAAAAAAAAAAGGAGTTTTCTGTTGCCATAGCAGGATATGGCAACACAGCTATGAATTTCAAACAAATTCAAATTCAGGAATCTGTGTCACCTCCCGTGGCAGGCTAAACTTTTTTGCACATGAAAATGAAGTCACATACAGATTGATAAATGTAAAATAGACTGTTCCACTTGTAAAAAAATATGGGAAAAGATTTTCTGGGAATAGTTTTTGTTGATCAGTATCCTTTAGATATTCCTTAGAACCTGATGTTTGTCTGAAACAAAAAAATTTGATTTTCTATCATTTAAACAATGTAAAATTTATCTCTGGTATTTACTGAGTTGTCTTGATTTAGTTATTATGTACAAATTTCAAGTTTGAAACTGTCATATGTCATTGATAGATGCTTATTTTTTTATGAATATTCTGAACATTAACAATTTTCAGTCAGCCAGTATTTACTATTAATGCTCATGCCAATGTTTTCAATAATTACCCCCCTCTTTTTTTCTTTTTTTTTTTCTTTTTTTTTTTTTTTTTAAGTAATGCCATATCACTGGGGTTCAATTGGTCAGTAATTAATATTAATGCTTACAACATCATTTTAAAAATTCATTCCTATTTCTTTTGAGTGGAACAGTCTATTTAAATAGGGCTAGTCAATGTGTTCGATGGGTCAGTAATTAATATTATCTTTTTATTTTTAAACTTTTTACCCCAAGCAAGGTGGGAGTGCTACTAGCATGCAATGGGTTACAGAGAGTGAGAGCAAGAGTAAAGAGGCATGAAAGAGGAAAGGATGAAGAGAAGAACAGGGAATAGATCAAGGCATCTGGAGATGTCGATTGACATTGCATTTGAATTTGTTTACACCATAATTTTTAAAATTTATTCCTATTTCTTTTGAGTGGACCAGTGTATTTAAATAGTGCCAGTCAGTGGGTTTCATGGGTCAATAATTAATATTAATGTTGATGCCGCCATTTCTAAAATTTATAAGGCTGATGTTTTTTTTTGTTTTTTTTCTGGCTCTCTAGTGTCTTATCCTTCTCATACCTGATTGATTGCTA